GATACAGGTGAGACACAGGTGAGATACAGGTGAGACACAGGTGAGATACAGGTGAGAGACAGGCGAGATACAGGTGAGACAGGTGAGACAGGTGAGATCCAGGTGAGATCCAGACATGTTTGACAGGTGGAACAAGCGAAACACAGGTGAGCGTGTTGGGCCTGGGGCTCACCTGGGGGGATCAACGCTCACCTGTGGGGATCAGTGCTCACCTGGGGGGATCAGTGCTCACCTGTGGGGATCAATGCTCACCTGTCTCTTGAGCTCGGGGTGCCGCGCCTGGATCCGTTTGAACTCGGCGATTTTGGCCTCGTCCACGTCCTCCTGCAGCTCCCAGGTGCTGTCCTCGTACGGCAGCGAGCACCACTTGACCAGGTAATACACCACCGGCTGCAGGTGACACACCTGCATCAGCGGGGCGGGGCCCTGCGCCGCCAGCACCTGGGACTGACACCTGAACACCTGGGAACAGCTGGGACTGACACCTGAACAGCTGGGACTGACACCTGAACAGCTGGGAACAGCTGGGACTGACACCTGAACAGCTGGGACTGACACCTGAACAGCTGGGAACAGCTGGGACTGACACCTGAACAGCTGGGAACAGCTGGGACTGACACCTGAACAGCTGGGACTGACACCTGAACAGCTGGGAACAGCTGGGACTGACACCTGGGACTGACACCTGAACACCTGGGACTGACACCTGGGACTGACACCTGAACACCTGGGAACAGCTGGGACTGACACCTGAACAGCTGGGACTGACAGCTGGGACTGACACCTGGGAACACCTGGGAACACCTGGGACTGACACCTGCAAATTCCCAGAAATCCCCAATTTTTGGGTTCCACCACCCCAAATCCACCAAAATCCCCGATTTTGGGGTTTTCCCCCCAGAAAATTCCCAGAAATCCCCGATTTTGGGGTTTTCCCCCCAGGAAATCCCTGATTTTTGGGGTTCCACCACCCCAAACCCCTGAAAATCCCCGATTTTGGGTTTTTTCCCCCCGAATCCGCCGCTCCGGGGCTCCGACCTCGCCGTTGTCCTTGTCCACGCTGTGCGACTCGTCCAGGATCCGATCCACCTCCACGTAGTCGGGGTTGAAGGGTTCCTCATCCTGCCCCAGGAACCCCCAAATCCTCCTTTTCCACCCCAAATCCTCCTTTTCCACCCCAAATCCTCCTTTTCCACCCCAAATTCTCCTTTTCCACCCCAAATCCTCCTTTTCCACCCCAAATTCTCCTTTTCCCCCCCACTTCCGCCCTTTTCCCGCCAAAATTCCCGGTTTTCCCTCCCCAAAACTCCGATTTTTCCCAGGGAAATCCTCCTTTCCTTCAATTCCTCCTTTCTGTCCCCAAATCTTCATTTTCCCATCACGAATCCAAAGTTTTTCCTCCCCAATCCTGAATTTTCTCTCAACTCCTTGTTGTTGGCCCCAAACTCCCATTTTTCCCCCCCAAATCCTTGTTTTCCTTCCCAAAATCCCCATTTCCCTCCCAAATCCCGTTTTTTCCACCCAAAATCCCGCTTTCCCTTCCATAACCCCATTTTCTTCCCCAGAAACTCATTTCTTCCCCAAAAATCCCACTTTTTCCCTCCAAAACCCTTTTTTTCCCCCCAAAATCACATTTTCCCCCCCAAAAAATTCCATTTTTTCCCCCAAAATCCCATTTTTCTCTCCCCAAATCCCGTTTTTCCCAAAAAACCCCATTTTTTCCCCCAAAATCCCATTTTTCTCTCCCCAAATCCCGTTTTTCCCAAAAAAAACCCCATTTTTTCCCCAAAAATCCCATTTTTTTTACCCAAAATCCCATTTTTCCCCCCCAAAAACCCCATTTTTCCCCCCAAAAACCCCATTTTTCCCCCCAAAATCCCAGTTTTCCCATAAAAAGTCCCACTTTTCCCCCAAAACCCCATTTCCCCTCCCAAAAACCCCGATTTTTTTCCCCAAATCCCCGTTTTTTCCCCCAAATCCCCGTTTTTCCCCCCGAATTCCCGGTTTTTCCCGAATCCCCGGGAATTCCCCCCGACCTCGTGGAAGAAATGCCGCATTTGGTTCATTTTGGTCTTGAAGCGTTTGAGTTTCTGGTGGATCCTCTTGTCCTTCTCCAGCTGCGCGATCGTCGCCCACTCGCAGTGCAGGTACGAGCTGGGGGCGGGGCCGGGGCTCACCTGGCGCAGGTGAGGCCACGCCCCCCTCGCCGCCGCCACCGAAACGGCCCCGAAACGCCCAAAAAACACCCCGAAACGCCCAAAAAACACCCCAAAACGGCCAAAAAACACCCAAAAACGCCCAAAAAACACCCAAAAACGGCCAAAAAACACCCCAAAACGGCCAAAAAACACCCCAAAACGGCCAAAAAACACCCCAAAACGGCCAAAAAACACCCCAAAACGGCCAAAAAACACCCAAAAACGGCCAAAAAACACCCAGAAATACCCAAAAATGGCCAAAAAACACCCCAAAACAGCCAAAAACCGCCCAGAAATACCCAAAACGGCCAAAAAACACCCAAAACCACCCAAAAACGGCCAAAAAACACCCAGAAAGACCCAAAAATGGCCAAAAAACACCCAAAAACGGCCAAAATCTGCCCCGAAATACCCAAAACGGCCAAAAAAACACCCAGAAATACCCAAAAATGGCCCAAAACCACCCCAAAACGGCCAAAAAACACCCAAAACCACCCAAAAACGGCCAAAACACCCCGAAACGGCCAAAACCCACCCAAAACCGGCCCCAAAACGGCCAAAACTGCCCCAAAAGGAACAGAAATGGCCCCAAAAATGTCCTGGAAAGGCCCAAAACAGCCCCAAATGACCCAAAATGACCCCCAGTGACCACCAGTGACCCCCAGTGACCCCCAGTGACCCCCAGTGACCACCAGTGACCCCCAGTGACCACCAGTGACCGGTGGCCCAGGCTCTCCGGCCATCACCTACTAGTTCTTGTACTTGACGAAGAACTCCTCGGACTCCACCAACTGTCCCGACGGCAGCTGAGGACCACG